GAAATACCTAATGTAGATGACAGGGGGTGGATGCAGCAAACCACCACTATGGCACGTGTATACCTATGTGACAATCCTGCACGATCTGCACATGTACCCCAGAACTTATAGTATAATAAAAAAAGTAAAAATTAAAAACAGTACTGGTTCTCAGCTGGGGGTGCTGGTACTGCCCGGGGTTCTTTAGCAATGTCTGCAGTCATTGCTGGCCATCCTGCTGGGGAGAGGGATGCTGCTGGCATTGGAGGTGGAGGCCAGGGGTGCAGCTCAGCAGCCTACACTGCCCTGAACAGCCTCCTACAGCAAAGATCCCTCTAGCCCCAAATGTGGACAGGGCAGAGGCTGAGAACCCAGGCTGGGACCAGCACCTGGCACGTGGCAAGAGCGGCTTGGGTGGATTGTGATTAAAATGATTTCCTCCCAGACCGCTCATCAGTGACTGTGAGAACACAAGTGTGATCTCATGACCCAGGCCACGTGGTGGACAGTTTTGAGGACAAAGAAAAGAGAACATTCACGGAATGCATTATTTCCTCTGACCCAGGAAAGGACTGAAAGTGGAAATTTGAGGTTGTGTAAAAATGTTCTGTTTTCATTTAAAAATAACAGAGCTTCCTGGGAATTTGAATTTCTGATTTCAGAAGAAAATAGGCTATAGAATATAGACTATACACAGAATCTTCTGGTATAGATGATTCCAAAAACACTAGAATATCCCTGTTCCGTGTCATAACTAAGAGGCCCACTGTGGCTGACATGGAAAGAGACTCAGACTTTCTTCCAGAAAGTGCCATCACTCAGCCTCGAGGAGTGCTGGTAGCAGACAGCTCCCAGTGCTTAGCTCCTTGGGGGTCCTTGTGTTTTGAGCTGAGTCCTGCTCTTTTTCGGGTAGCCCCAGCTATTGACAGGGATGGTGGTTCAAGGGTCTGACCACTTTGACCAAAGCGGGACTCTTCCCCGGGCGCCCACTCTGCTCTAGACCCCTCAGGTGAGCTAGCAGAAATGTTGTCAGGTCTTCCTCTTGATCTCAGAGCTCCCACTGCCATCCTGGGTCCTTCCCTTCCTCCTTCTTGGATATTACAGCCTCATGAACCTTCTGTCTCAACCTCTGCTCCCCAGAGACCTCATAATCCCACTGTGGCATGCGACGGATATGAGGGTAGACCCTGGACCCAGAACGTATTGGATTCTAATCCCAGATCTGAGGCATCCCAGCTGTGTGAATTTTAACAAGTCACCAATCTCATCATGCCTCAGCTTCTCATCTTCACATTGGGGATTGCAATAATGCCGACCTTGCTGGGTCACTGTCGGAATCACTCAAGTCCGTGCAGGTGCATACCCAGGAAGGCTGTCAGGTAGACAGTTTCCTTGATGCCAGCTCTATCACCTCTGATCTGTGAAGCCCCAACCAGGAGCTGGCTCTCCCGAGTTCCCAACTGCTCTCCTCTCCATGCACGCTGGCAGCTCTCTCCTGGAATAGGGAAGCGGGCTCTAGGGATTGAATAGCTGACTGTATTTGTCTGCGCAGTTGACTGCATAGTCTCCTAGGGTTCCCATCGAACAATTCCCAGGACCAGGTGGCTTACACACAGAGCTTTATTTTCTCACAGTGCCAGATGCCGGAAATCAGAGACGGGGTCTCTGCAGGTTTCGTTTCTCCCTGGCCCCGTGGGCAGCCGCTTCCCACTGTGTTCTCCTGTGGCCATTCCCCTGTGCATCGCTGGTGTCCCCCTGCATGACTGAGTGTCCTGATCTCTTCTTCTTAAAAGGATACCAGGCCGGGTGCGATGGCTCATGCCTATAATCCGAGCAATTTGGAGGCTGAGGCTGGTAGATCACCTGAGGTCAGGAGTTTGCGACCAGCCTGGCCAACATGGCGAAACCCCATCTCTACTAAAAATACAAAAATTAGCTGGGCGTGGTGGCGCTCGCCTGTAGTTCCTGCTACTCAGAAGGCATGACAGCCGCCTGAGCCTAGAGGTGGAGGCAAGGCTGCTGTGAGCAAAGACTGTGCCACTGCACTCCAGCCTGAGTGACAGAATGAGACTCCATCTCAAAAACAAACAAAAGAAGAGGACACTGGGCATATTGTGTTAGGGTCCACGGTGATGACCTCATTTTTACGTAACCACCCCTTTAAAGACCCCGCCTCAAAATACAGTCAGATTCATTTGAATTTAGGGAAGGAACCAAATTCAGCGCACAATAGGCTCAAGCTGCCTCTTTTTCCCTCTGTAAGAGGGAGTGGCCCTGCTGACCTGAAGTCCATCTGCGCCGTGTCCCTGACCCCCACCACAGCACGTCCTCCTCCAGTGTGTCCATTTAAAACTGGGTGCAGTGTGTCATCCAGTGCATCCACTTAAAACTTGCTTATCTCTTGGCAGAAAGGGTGTGTTGTTCATTAACGTACAGCCGACTTAGGGAAAGCTGTTTCCCAATGAATAAGCCTAGTATAATGAGCCAAAGCTCTCCTCTGATTAATTAGGCCGTGTGGCAGCCCGTCATGGTGATAGGACACTACCTGGAAAATGGGGGTAAGGGTACCATCTAATGGATATATTGTGAGGATTCAGTGGAATAAGTTATTGACACTCAGTGCAGTACCTTGCATGTAGCAAACAATAAATATTACCCACTGCTATTACTGTTACCACTGTTATTAATGTTACATAGAGAGAGACATAGTTTCACTCCTGTTGCCCAGGCTGGAGTGCAATGGTATGAGCTCGGCTCATTGCAACTTCAGCCTCCTGAGCTCAAGCGATTCCTCCTGCCTCAACCTCCCAAGTAGCTGGGACTACAGGCACCACCACGCCCAGATTTTTTTTTTTTTTTTTAGTAGAGATGGGCTTTCACCATGTTGGCCAGGCTGGTCGTGACCTCCTGACCTCAGGTGACCCATATTTTTAATCTAAGACAGAGACCAAGCACAAAAAGGCACTACCTAACTTGAGAATTGGAGGCAAGCTTTCCTGTAGGATGTCTACTTCTGCCAAGTTTGAGGGTAGAGAAAAGAGAATTTCGACATCCTTAGCTTTGGTTCTTAAAAAAGAAAAAGAGAGAAATATTAGAAGAACATAAATTTTACCAAGAATGTTGGTGATATTTAAATAAGATTTAAATTCATACAGCACTTAAACAGAAAAGAAGGAAATGACATTAAATTCACCTAAGTGCTGGATTATGCACACCGGAGTCAGAAATATTAACCATACCCCCATAACGGAACAGTGTGACTGGCTGGAAATGGATTATAAACGGGGTTCAAGAGTTTTAATAGATTATCCCTTCAAACCATCAGCATTGTAAAGTGGCAGTTAATAAATTATTTGACATGTACAGTTAGTCATATTTTAACGAGAAATAATGAGCAGGTCTTGCCGGCTCACCTAGACCGTGACATTTCTCCAGTTCATCTCCCAGAGGGGCAGTTTGGAATGTTTGACAATCTAATGCAATGGACAGAGCTCTGAAGGGAAGGATGGATGTCCGAATGCTGGAAGGAGTTCTGCTGCCTCCAGCTGTTGCGAAAACACATTCAGATTTTTCTCTCCAGACTAGGATGGAGTTGGGGCCAGGTCCTCTCATGGGGGACTAGGCTTGTGTCTTCCTAAGCTCACCTAGGATTAGGAACCTGCATTCCAAGAGCCCAGGTGAGCTCAGGTAAGGTCCCCAGAGCCCAGGTGAGCTTAGGAAGGGTCCCCAGAGCTCGGGTGGGCTTAGGAAGGGTCCTCAGAGCCCAGGGGAACTTAGGGAAGGTCTCCAGAGCCCAGGTGAACTTAGGTAAGGTTCCCAGAGCCCAGATGAGCTTAGAAAGGGTCCCCAGAGCCCAGGTGAGGTTAGGAAAAGTCCTCACAGCCCAGGGGAACTTAGGGAAGGTCTCCAGAGACCACATGAGCTTAGAAAGGGCCCAGGTGAACTCATCTAAGGATGAGGATCAGTGGATATCTTTGGGAGCCATTATTTAGGCTACCACACTCCCCCAAAGGCATGTCCCAATTCTTGTTTAGGATGAGAACTAATGGACTCATTGCCCTCCCCCAGGAAAGCTGGGAGACAAGACAAGAGAACAAAGTCCTTGCACTGAACTTGGTTCTTCCCGTCAGCGCTGGCATGGAGGAGCCATCTTGTGCCAGGTAGAAGTTGACAGCCTGGGCTCTGGAGCCAGACTCCCAGGGCTGAACCCTGGCACTGCCCTTCCTGGTAGAAACATAGGCAGGCTCCCCTACTCCCGACTTCCTCAGCTGGAATATGGGAATGGCAGTGGTGCCTAGTGTTGTGGCTGTTCTGAGGGTGAAATGAATCCACATATTTGGATTACCTGAAAAGCAGAGCCTGAGACATGCATTTGAGGGCAGGTGATTTATTTGGGCAATGAACTCTGGATGCAGAATGAGGGAGTGAACAGCAAGACAGGACACATTTTGAAAAACCAGCAGGAGGTGCATCTTTGAGCTAGCTCACATGGTGGCAACTTCTGTGAAATCCCTTTGAGCCTCTCTAGGGAACTCTGCAGGATGGGGTTCAGAATCCACCCCTGTGCCTGAGAGGGAAAGTGGTCTGCACATGCTCTGTTGAGGACGTGCACAGGATGCACCCGTGTGGGAGGGAAGAGAGTAGGATGGGAAGAGGAGACGCTAAGCAAGGTCAGGTTTGGGTGTAGCACAGCCAGCTCCACGAGGAGCTCTTAAGACCTAAGGGCAGTCTTCTATGGAAGATGTGGGATGACTTGTCAACAACACACTTGCAGCCCCTGGGCGGAGTGCACCAACCCAGCCACAGGGACCGCAGGAATCCCAGGTAGGCTCAGAGAGCACCTATCATAACAACATCTGCTATGCTCAAAAGCAACAGACGATGTCTACTCCACACCTGGACCTCCTCCCCACAGTAAGTGGTCTCCACCAGCCAGGGTGTTCCCCTTTCCTCCTCCTCGGGCCATGCAGTGCGATGAAGGCTCACCTTCCCCTCCCCATTTCTCTCTCACCTCTTTACAGGTCTCTGACAGATGTGACTATGTCTTTGTCAATGGGAAGGAAATGAAAGGCAAGGTGAATGTGGTGGTGAACTTCACCTACCAGCACCTGAGCAGCCCCCTGGAGATGACAGTGTGGGTGCCCCGGCTTCCGCTGCAGATCGAGGTCTCCGACACCGAGCTCAATCAGATCAAGGGCTGGAGAGTACCCATCGTCTCCAGCAGGAGGTGGGTGTCCCCCTCAAACTTCATGGCAGGCTAAGGAGGAAATGTACAGAGGGGTATATTCGGGCATGGCTGGGTCTGAGGATGCACATGGTACCCTTAAGACCAAGCCTCCCTCCACCACTCAGCTTTGATTTGCTCTGTGTTAGTTTCATTCTCTATCAGTGTTTCTCAGGAGGTTCCCGGCTTCCATTTTTCTCTTCTCTGCAACTCCAGCAGAAAGTGGCTCCTCTCCTTCCCACCAGTTTCAGCAAAGTCCTGAATTTCAGTCTGATCCTCACTGGGATTTTGTACCCTTCCTTATCTAGTTACTGTAGCCAAGTCTCTCGGACATACTGCATAGCTGGCTGGACTTCACCAGCTGGAGCCAGAGGAGCTGGAGGGGGAGGTGGACTAAGGCTGGATGAACGGACAAATTCCAGGAGAAGGGAAAATTGATGCTAGAAAGAAGGCACCGGATGTCCCTTGGAAGGACATCTGACAGGGTCAGCCTGATCTTAGCTGCCTCTCTGTGCTTCAGTGCAGAAGCTCTGAGCTCTCTGCCTGGTGAAACGAGGTCTGAGGTCGCCCACTGAGTGTCTGATACATTACCCCATGGTGTTTGGTACAGTCCCAGGAGTCTCCACCATCCACCATTGGGCAACCTTGCGAACACCATGTAAAGAGGGTGGTAGGAGCCAGGCTCTTCATTCACAAACTGTCATCTCAGAGAAACCATGTGTAAGAATTCACGCACTGGGGACATGTTGATTGCTAAAAGTAAGTATGTGTGGCAGAATGAGACAATAAAATATTCCTGGAGTCTGCGTACTCAACGGGGGGTGGAGAATTGGTGCTTATCTGAGGAATAACGTACGTTCCTCTTCTTGCAAGCTCACTCCTTTAGTCCTGTGACCCCTGGGAGAAGTGACACTTCAAGGACAAAGCCTGTGGGTCTCGTGGACAGCTGGGAGGTGGCTTCTGCAATGTGGGGCTCATGGACCTGGCTTCCGCAATGATTCTTTTTGGTTGTTGGGGTTTCTGGTGTTGAGTTGGGCGTGTGGATTAGAGAGCGGCCATTGGTGCTGCAGAGGGAAGAGACTGGAGGGGAAGATTCACCAAAGACCTGGGTGGGTCTGACCGCAGTGCATCCCAGGTGCTGTCACAGCTTCCTGATTCAGACATGGCAGCAGAGTGAGTGTGAGAGGGAGCAGCTGCTGCTCTGATGGAGACCGAGATGGTCCCATCAAAGGGCTGACTGCATGTGAGGGGCCAGATGTTGAGGAGCAGCTGACATCTGTCTCCTTCCAACCACCCTGGCCTTCTCTGCCGTACTTACTACATTTGGCCTCACCTTTGGTTAAACATTCACCCGCGTTGTGTGATGGGGTACAGAGCCACACCATTCATCCCTGGCCCTGTCACGTTAGCTGGCCATTCTGTCTAACACAGTGGCTTATCCCAAAGCTTAGTGGTTTAAAAAGTCTCCCCAAAGTTAATGTGGCTTAAAAGAACAACATGCGGGCCAGGCATGCTGACTCATGCCTGTAGTTCCAGCACTGAGGCTGAGGCAGGCAGATGGCTTAAGCCCAGGAGTTCAAGACTAGCCTGGGCAACATAGCGACACCACATCTCTACACAAAATTTTAAAAATCAGCCAGGCATGGTAGCTTGCACCATAGTCCCAGGTATTCAGGATGCTGGAGTGGAAGGATTGCTTGAGTTCAGGAGTTCGAGGCTGCAGTGAGCTGAAATTGCACCACTGCACTCCGGCCTGGGTAACAGAGCAAGGCCCTGCTGCAAAAGGGAAAAAAACAACATGCATTGTCTAACAGTTCCATGGATCTGGAATCCAGGCATGGCTGAGCTGGGTCTTCTGAGCAGGGCCTCTGCCAGGCTGCAACCCACGTGTCGGTGGGGCTGGGGTCCCGTCTCAAGGCTCACATGGGGAAGGATCTATGTCTAGGATCAGTCGTGCAGGTGCTGGCTGTTCTCAGTTCCTCGCTGGTGCTGGCCAGAGGTCACTCTCTGTTTCTAGCTGGGTGGGAACCTCCACAGCGTGGCTCACAGCATGCAGCTTGCTTCATCAGAGTGAGCGAGTGAGAAGAACCAAGGAAAGACAACACAAGCAAGACAGAAGTCACGGGCTTTTCAAGTCTAGCCACGAAAGTGACCAGCCATTCACTTTGCCATAACTTTTTCACTGGACAAAAGAAACTAGATCCAGCCCACACTCAAGGGGAGGGGTTTATACAAAGCAGACACCAGGAGGTGAGAGGGTCACTGGAAACAGCTGAAACATGAGGAGGTGAGAGGGTCACTGGAAATAGCTGAAACACCAGGAGGTGAGAGGGTCACTGGAAACAGCTGAAACACGAGGAGGTGAGAAGGTCATTGGAAATAGCTGAAACCCTGCTTGCTGCACTGGTCATGCTGATTGGTCAGTGCTCAGTCCAGTGCAGTGGTTAGTATCTGAATTTCACCCCTGCATGTCTGCCTGTAAACCCCTTGAAGGCTCCTTCCCTCTGCACCCCCACCAGGCTCCACACACAGCGCCTTCTAGAGGACCAACAAGTAACTATCTACAAACTGCCCTGTCTCTTTCACAGGCCCACTGGGGACAGTGAGGAAGAGGAGGACGATGAGAGGAGGGGCCGCGGCTGCACCCTGCAGTACCAGCACGCCATGGTGCGGGTCCTCACGCAGTTCGTGGCTGAGGCGGCCAGCCCTGGGGGACACCTGGCCCACCTGCTGGGCTCCGACTGGCAAGTGGACATCACAGAGCTGATAAATGACTTCGTGCAGGTGGAGGAGCCCAGGATAGCCAGGCTGCAGGGTGGACAGATCCTGATGGGGCAGGAGCTTGGGATGACCACCATTCAGGTACAAAATCTCCAAAGCAAGCTCTCTGTCTTCTCACCTCTGCTCTGCTCAGAGGAGAATTCAGCTGCTTGTCATTACTGGGAATAGTATGTAGTTTCAGGATGGGTAAATTCAAAGAAATTGTCCAGTAAACAATACCAGTGGTGCTGGCTGGGCACGGTGGCTCAGGCTTGTGATCCCAACACTTTGGGAGGCTGAGGCAGGCAGATCATCTGAGCTCAGAAGTTTGAGATTGGCCTGGGTAACATGGCTGGAGAGGACCAGCCGCAACACTCGGGTTTTGAAACAAACACTTGCACAAAACAGTGTTCTGGGAGGCTTGCAAGGGTTTGGTCATTTACCTCCCAGCTGAGAACAAACCAAGAGTTGGTTTTCTTTCTGCACACACGTAAGGGGCACAAGCACAGTTTTGTTTCCTGGACATATTGCGTGTCTGCCTTGTATCCATCACCCAAATAACGTACATTGGAGCCAAAGGAAGAGCTTATTTCTCAGCAGCTGCCCCATCTGCAAGCGAGGCGACTGTCTTATCAGGCAATCTGTGAGGTTTCTAAAACAGCTGTGCCTGAGAAATCGTTGTAACTGAGCCTAGATCAGATCATGGAAGATTGAAAACATATCCATTCTAGAAGAGTGGCTGGTATATATAAAACTTCATTTTATCCAAGGAGGAAAATAAATAGATTTGGGCAGTACCAGGAGTCACATGCTCAAATGATCTCTAAAAGCTCAGAAGCTACCATCTGTGAGGAGAATAGGCTGGGTAGGAGCTGAAAGACAGCAGCTGATTTTGCTCTGAGCGTTAGAGAGACAACAGGGAGTGGTGAGGCCTGTGGAAAAGGGGCAATCTGTTACACAGCCACAAGCTGCCAATGAGAAATGTCCACTGCAGCCATGCGTGACAATTTTCCAGAAAAGCTGGAATTCTGTGTTTTTATATAAAATCTTCTGGCTCTCTAAATGGTCATTCATTCTATTTTAAAATATGATTTGGGTCAGACAAAACATATCTGCCTCATAGATGAGAGCTTGCAACCTCCAAAACTGACTAAGAAGTTGGAAGACCTGAATCCCCACCGTAAATCTATAGGCTTCACTGATACTGATGCCCAGAAGCTCACAGTGAGATGAGAATTCAGTGCTCACATTTTCCCTTAAGTGATAATTTCAGTGCAAGAGGAAGAGACGTGCCGTTCTGAAACCACATATGACACACGGACACTGTTTTGGTGAGGCATCTAGTCCTGCGAGCCTTGGTTCTTTCTCTTCTCTCACTGCATCCTCCTGAGTCACACATTCACCTGTCCACTTTCCTCTGGGGACACATCTCTCATGCTAGCTGCCATTTAAATTATCACCATCAGACCAGACAGTGAAGGTGGCATTCAGTTAGAAATAAGGAGCTTTGATTCCTGGTCTTAAAGCATCCTGGGAAAAGTGCTGTCGTGACATACATCATAGATATCACCAAAAACGTGAAAGGAGAAAGAGTTCGAGAAAGCAGGAGAACAGAGGGTGCAGCCCATCTCCTCCAGGAGGCTGAGTTACACACAGTCATGAGGAGTCTAAGACAGCTCTTCATTGTTTGGGCGAAAGTGAGAGGAGGAAGAGGTGATGCCACAGAAGTTCCTCAAAAGCAGGTTTCCTGTTCAAGGTCTAAACTGCACACAAGCCTCATTTCCCAGGTCATTCCATGTGTCCAGAGGAGAAATGAGGCTTGGAGTCGTTGGCCTCAGGCATTCACGCTTATAACCTATGTTTATCAGAGCATGCCCAACCATATCCCACATCGTCAGGCATCACGCGCAGCATTTCCCTGAGTGCCCGGCGGGGTCTCCAGTGACACACAGGATTGAGATGGGCCAGCAGGCTCCACCTTCTGGTTGCACATGAGAAAGCTATCACTATATAACCAGTACACCCAACCCACTGTTCACTGATGACAGGAAGGCTTTTAAAAAACCAAATCATTTAAGTAAAATAAATAATGTTAAACAAAATACACACTAGAGAGTAGAGAGATGATCTGTGCTGTAGAAGAATCATAAAGTTAACAGGCAAATGAAAATGTCAGTTCCTCCTGTCCAGGATGGAGCACGGTGGGAAATGGAGCTGAATGTGGGGTGTGGGGAGGGACCAAGCCCTATCTGCCCACGTCTACATACCACGTCACTGTTATGCAAAAATTGCATTACATTTTCTCAAGCAAAATGTATGATTTGGCAGGTGGCATCAGTGGGAAAGACCCATTCTCGTTCATTCTGGCTCACGTGTTGCCCTGTCGCCACCTGCACACCGGGCACCTCCTCCTGCGACTGGAGGAAGTGCCCGGACCACAGAGAGCCTTTCCTTGTCATGTCGCTTCTGCCCTCCAGATCCTGTCTCCTCTGTCAGACACCATCCTGGCTGAAAAGACCATCACTGTGCTGGACGAGAAGGTGACCATCACGGACCTCGGGGTGCAGCTGGTGACGGGGCTGTCGCTGTCCTTGCAGCTCAGCCCAGGAAGCAACAGGGCCATCTTTGCCACTGCGGTGGCTCAGGAACTTCTGCAGAGGCCCAAACAGGTATAGAGGAGGGCTTGAGACACAGCTCAGCGGGGTCCCACACCAGGCGGGCCCCACAACACAGTGGGATCACACATTGGGTGTTTCTCCACCTGCAAAGGGAGCTTCTGAAGCAGACGACTGCTCTGTCATGTTTCCCAGCTCCCCCATGCAGAGATGAAAGAAATATACACATACATAAGGGTTGCAACTGCAAAAAATGGGAAGCCACCAAGGGGCAGGAGCCCCGGAGGAAAGGCCCACCCCTCATCCATCATCGTGAAAGTGCGTGCAGGGGGTCACCTGTGCTGTCCACATGCTTCCTGCTTCCACGTGAGCGTGAGGGCACATGCAGGCTGACAGCAGGTGCACAGCCTGCTGCCGAGGTCCTGCTGGAGCGGAGGTGCCAGACCTGCTGAGTCTGTGGGGAGCCCATGGCGGGAGATCACTTTCTTGTTCAGCTCAAGGCAGAAACAGAGAACTCATGGTGATGTCACTTGGGGGTTTCTTTTACTTTCTTTGGAACCAGTGTGAGCTAATAGTGTGTGTTGTGTGTGTTTCTGTGTGTTGTGTCTATGTATGTGTTATGTATGTATGTGTTTTCGCTTTGTCTATGTGCATGTGTGTATATGTATGTGTCTTCTGTCAGTATTTTGTGTTGCTCATTTTGTGTTCTGTGTGTTTTGGTTGTATAGGAACCTGTGTGCATGTATATGTACATGTGTGTTGTGAATGTATTGTGTGATTGCATGTATCTGTGTGTGCTGTGTGCCTATGTATGTCGTTTTTGCTTTATGTGTGCCATTGTGTATGCATGTGTATGTGTCTTGTGTCAGTATGTTTTGTGTTGTATGTTTGTGTTGTATAGGAATCTGTGTGCATGTATATGTGTATGTGTGTTGTGAATGTATGTATGCATTGTGCCTGTTGTGTATGCATTGTGTCTGTGTTATGTGTGCACATGTATGTGTGTGTTGTGGGTCTGTTTTTGCTTTATGTGTCTATATGCATGTGTCTTGTGTCAGTATTGTGTTGTGTGTATGCGTTGTATAGGCACCAGTGTGCGTCTAAGCGTATATGTATGTTGTGTGTATGTGTTGTGTGTATGTGTATGGTGCAATGTGTTTGTGTGTAGATACAATGGCCTACAAAGGGGACTGTTACAGAGGACCTTTGAATGTAGTAAGTTCTTCTCCCTCATTAGAAGTGGATAAACCTTTTTTAGAATACAGGGAGTTGGCTGAACTTTGCTTAACAACAAAACTCAGTGGTTGCAGGTGGTTAGTTCTTTGTGCCCATGAAAAGGGAGCCCTCCAGCCCGTATGGGACACTGTACTGGCCACTTCCCTTCTGGATCAGGAACCTTTCCTGTGCATTCCTCCTCAGCAGGTGAGGTACCAGGCCTGCCCTGCCTGTGTGCACCAGCTGTGGCTGCGACCATGTTCGAGGAGGCGGGAGCGCCACACTGGACCTGCCCAGCCAGCACCTGTCATGCCATGCTCCCCTCTCAGGCACGCGCTAATCTCATCTTTATACGACAGTCTTTGCAGAGTTTTGGATTAGAAAACACTTGAAAGTGCATGATCCCAATAACAGATACGAACTCTTGGCCGAAGCAAACGTCCTTTTTCTCAAGGAAGGATGCCAGCCGAGAGGCATGTTACAGATAGCAATGAAGAAATAACCTGAGGCTTTTCTCAGTCTTTATGGGAGATATCACCCGCTGGCCGCCAGCAAGGCATTAAGGAAGGTATAAGATGCAGCTAGAAGAAGGCCAGAGGGCTAATCCGTTCCTGCCGTGTAGAGCTAAGCACACCACCCCGAGATGTGCTCCGTAGATGGTGTGTGGGGCTCTTACTCCTTGCACGCAGCTTGGCCCTGGCAGAGGTGGTTTCAGGAAACCCGCTGTGCATTTGAATGCTCTGCTCAGATTTCCTGGTGGATGGAGAGAACCTGGTCAGTGTCACATCCAGTGACCTCTGCACTGTGCTTCGGCAGGATTCTCTGCCTAGCAGGTAGTCCGAGTCAGTCTCTAACAGAATCAGCATTTCTTGGCTGAGCTGAATGAAGGAGCAGAGGCCACCAGCCACGTTTGAGGAGCCTCGCTTCTTACCTTCAAAGACTAAGCAACACCTGTGTGAAATGTCTTCCGTCATGGTCAGGGGCTGGTGTGTTGCAAGAGAAAGAAATCCACTCAAGTGAGATGAAATAACAAGGGGTGTGTTCTGAGGACTAGAAGTCTCACAGAACTCAGCTGGAAGACCTCAGAGGAAAGGGAAGGTCAACACTCTCATGCCCACTGTCTCTCTCACCTGTGTTTTCATTTTCGTCTAACTCATTATTGTCTTCCTGTGGATAAATGCTCTGCTTTTTTTTGTATCCAGACATTTGCTCATACATAATCCATCAGAGGGCTTCATTCCCTAACTTTATATCAGCCCCACTACACATCTTCCCAAGCCTAACTTCTTCAGTCTTGTTTTTCTAATTTCAAGTTTGAGACAGAAAGAGAAAGAGAAAGAAAGGGGGGGGGAGGGAGGGAGGGAGAGAGAGAGAGAGAGAAAGAGAGAGAGAGAGAGAGGAGAGAGGGGGGGGGAGAGAGAGGGGAGAGGAGAGAGAGAGAGGAGAGAGAGAGAGGAGAGAGAGAGAGGGGAGAGAGAGAGAGGGGAGAGAGAGGGGAGAGGAGAGAGAGGGGAGAGAGAGGAGAGAGAGAGAGAGAGAGAGAGAGAGACAGAGAGAGAGAGAGAGAGAGAGAGAGAGAGAGAGAGAGAGATATGCTGGCCAGCTCAGCGTTGCTGAGATTGATGGCAATAATGGCAGCAGCTGTCTCATTCCAATCAGCTGTAGCTGTGGCCCAGCACGCAGGGTCATGGGCCGCCATCTGGGGCTTGGGTGGAGCAGGTTCTCCAAGAGGGAGGGAGGAGGGCAGAAGCGGTGGATGTGCCACTGTGCTGTCAAATGACACCTTCACCAGAATTAGAGGCTTGCATAAAATTGGAGGTTATCTCCAACGATCTGCCTGGTCAAACTATTTGCAAAGAAAGTTGGTCTAAATCAACAGAGTGGAAAAAGTGGGAGGTTGAGAGGTGCACAAACCTTAGCTCTGGCTGCTTTTTGGACTTCCAGTTACCTCCAGCTGGGCTGGGTGGAGGGTGGGGTGGTGCAAGAGGAGAAGACGCTCCAGTCAAGATGCTTCTCCCTCTCCGGCCGTCAGGCTTAACTCCTCCCTCCAAGCCAAGACTGTGTCCTGAGGCCAGCACAGATCTCTCCGGGGACCCGGAAGAGGCGAGGCTGGCAAAACCAAGCCTGCAGCCCTGCTGTGGGGCTTGTCTAGCTCAGAGGCTTTCATCTGTATTGCCAGTAATCAGTGGAGACTCCTATTACAACTTAAAAATTATGTAATAAACATTTTTCATTTGAATGCGTAGCACTCGTAAAAGATCCCGCTAACCAGTAATTTCCTTTGTGGTGCATTTTATTACTGTTCAGATGTCGATTCTGAACAGCCCAAGGGCCCATCTTCCTTTTAACACCTACAGGAGGGAAAAAAAAGAAAGAAAAGTAAATCTTTGTATGGAGCGTTAAATCCTGGCCCTGGTTTGTCATTTTGTTGTTGTATTTTGCTTTTGCATCTTAGGAGAATGTTTCCTTTTATACTCCTGGTACTTATCACTTATTTCTACCTGTTTGAAAGGTTTGTCTTTGTTTTCCTAGCAATATTTTGGCCATAGTGTATCTCTATGCTAAGACTTAGGGCTCAATGAGTTTTTTGGCCCATTTTGATTAACTTACATATTTTTCTCCATAGGAAGCAGCCATCAGTTGCTGGGTCCAGTTCAGTGATGGCTCAGTCACACCCCTGGATATTTACGATGGGAAAGACTTCTCCTTAATGGCCACATCCTTGGATGAGAAGGTGGTCTCCATCCACCAAGACCCCAAATTCAAGTGGCCTGTAATTGCTGCGGAAACGGAAGGACAAGGCGCCCTGGTGAAGGTGGAAATGGTTATCAGTGAATCCTGCCAGAAATCCAAGAGGAAGAGTGTGTTAGCTGTGGGAACAGCAAACATCAAAGTTAAATTTGGCCAAAACGATGCTAACCCCAACACCAGCGACAGTAGACGCACAGGGCCAGGGGTTCACCTGGAAAACAATGTCAGTGACAGACGGCCCAAAAAACCCCTGCAGGAATGGGGGAGCCAAGAAGGACAGTCCTATGGCAGTTCTTCCATGGGGATCATGGAGGGACGGGGCACCACAACAGACAGGTCCCTCCTGCAGAAGAAGAAAGGCCGGGAAAGCCTTTTGGATGGCGAGAGCCACTGGCAGACTGTCCCCAGCGACCTCACCAGCTTCCCAGCACAGGTGGACCTCCCCAGAAGCAACGGGGAGATGGATGGGAATGACCTCATGCAGGCGTCCAAAGGGCTGAGCGACCTAGAAATTGGGATGTATGCTTTGTTGGGTGTCTTCTGTTTGGCCATTTTGGTGTTCTTGATAAATTGCGTGACCTTTGCACTAAAATACAGACACAAACAGGTTCCCTTCGAGGAGCAGGAAGGGATGAGTCACTCCCATGACTGGGTTGGGTTGAGCAACCAGACAGAGCTGCTGGAGAATCGCATCAACTTTGCCTCCTCGCAAGACGAGCAGATCACTGCCGTTGACAGGGGCTTGGATTTCGAGGAGAGTAAATATCTCCTCAGCACAAACTCCCAGAAGAGCATCAACGGGCAGCTGTTCAAACCTTTGGGACCCATCATCATCGATGGGAAAGATCAGAAAAGTGAGCCCCCGACCTCCCCTACCTCAAAAAGGAAAAGGGTGAAATTCACCACCTTCACCGCCGTGTCATCGGACGATGAGTGCCCCACCAGGAACTCCGTAGTGATGAGTAGCGAGGATGACATTAAGTGGGTCTGCCAGGACCTGGACCCCGGGGACTGCACTGAGCTGCACAACTACATGGAAAGGTTCCATGAAAATGTGTAAGCCAGACACACACAGATGTTGGTCCTCACTCACCTTTCAGCCTTTAATTCCAGGATGTGTAGCAATGGTGCCCCCGGAGAGAAATCAAACAGCAGGACAGGAGGAGGATGGCACCGTCAGCAGAGCCTCAGCCAGCGACCTCGGCTCTGCAGGAGGCGTCGAGTCCGCATCGACGCCCACATTCCAGCCTACCTACGGCATCTTGCTGAAGAGGTTATCATGCATGGCAAGATTTCTAAAACTGGAGTCAAACACAAGTTCTGAATCCCTGAGCATCTGAGAGTTTCCAGGAAAGAACATCCTCTCTCTCTCTCTCTCTCTGTAATCAAAACAATTTGGATGTTGTAAAATCCACATGGCTCCAGTGTTCAATACTGCAGACTATGGAAGAAAAACGCAACTCAGGTGGGGCATCCGTGGGTCAGTGGGAGGGGGCGTGTCGTGGAAACCGGAGCGCACGTCTCGCTGTGCGCGCCATCACAGGCAGTCCAGTGCCGCTGTCGGCCGTGGCAGGCATGATTGTGGGTCGCTGTCTCTCAAAGACTGGGCCAGAGCTGGCTCAGATCATGGACAGGCCAAGGCAGTGGCTGACAAGGACTGAAAGGGAGCATGTGGGCCACTAGGCCACAAATGCCTTTGTAACTACATGCCAAGGAGAAACGCACGGACGCAAATCCTCTGAGCCCTTCAGAGCACTTCTTTATTTGTAAACTAAAGATACTGGGCATAGAATCTGAATCGGGCTCAGAGAAGCAGGCTCTTTCTATTCATAGCAAGTTCCCACGGTTCCATTTGTACTCTTCCACTACATCGCCACCCTCCCCAAAGCCGTTGGTCACGTGTGGGTGGGGGCGGGAGAGGGCAGTTTCTAGTATTTGCTGAGTCTTTTTCATCCCCCTGGGTTTTGTGGCAACTCCCAAGTGACATTCTTTAGAGAAGACCCCCTCCAACCTGGGCATATGCCCCATGCCGTCCATCTGTGAAGAGGCTGGTCTCTGGGCATGGGCAGTACGTATGCACAGTGAATTCCACACCAGGGGATATACGTTCCGTTGCTTTTCTAGAAAAAAAAGAGCCACTTGGGATGGGTCTTTCACTGTTCCCATCCAAGAATGTGCCCTCGAGGCTGTTGAGACAAACCTGGGTGTCGGTGTGGAATGCGCAGGGCATGTGGAGTTGGGGGGTTCTGGGTGCGAAAGCAGTGGGTCCAGCACACACCCAGACAGCACAGAAGGCTTCTTCGCCTTGGAGGTGGGAAGGGGTGGGGGCCTCGGTGCGTGTGGTGGAGATGCAGGTTTGCAAGTGATTGGTCCAGCAGTCAGCCCCGAAAGGTTTAGCGTTGCTTAAGATCAGCATGACTCTGGAGATCTCTGAATCCCCTCACTTGCTGAGCCTGTGAAGGGAGACTCAGAGGATTCCTGCCCCATCTCACACTCACTCCAAGGTAGCGAACGGTGTGCTGGATGATTGCCAGCCAGCTATGATCCTTTGAAATATGGTCGGGGACAGGGAGTGGCAGGCAGAAGAGGCCGTGCTGTTTAATCCATCTTCCATTTTTCCTTCTGTGTCATTTTATTTCTCTCTCTCTCTGCTCTTTAGATGTTTTCCAGTCTCTCTGTGTGTGTCTCTGTATCTCTCTCCCCCTCCGAACCTCTCTCCTTGCTTCCTTTCTGTTTCTGTAATTCCAAGGGTGTCTTCATTCCTTCTCCTCTCCACAGAATGGAATTCTCTTTAGATCATGTGTCAATTTCACCTGTTTATGCTTCCAGCCCTAGCCCTGTCCCCTGCAACTGTGGTGCTATCCGTTTGCTCTTGAGACTGGGGTTTCTGCAGCCGGTACGTCACCTGCTCCTGTCCGCAAGTTTGCTTACCTTGTTTGGCTGGGTGATTCAGCTGTCACCCCTTTGTGATGGGACTCCCCTGCTTCCAGTAGCGTCCTCATATTTCTTTCCATTCTTACCTGTGTCGCGTTCCGTTGAATACTGCAGCCACTGCCCACTCCCAAATCCACCTACGTGTAGAATGTACTGTAGATTGTAAGAATGTAATATATATTTATAAACTTACTGACTGTAAATATAAAGTTTGCATTCAGTGGCTCATGGCTGTCCTGTGTCTTTCTACACGTTGACCCCCTCCAAGAGGCTGGCATCAATTGCAAAGGGCTCTGCAAATGTGGTGGCTCTAAATGAAATGCAGATGTAAAGATCCCAGCACAATCCAGTTGCACCCTTACATCGTGTAGCACTGCTCTGCGTGGAGGGGATGTCGACGCATGATGACAAAGTGCCTGTGTACTAAGCAGCTCTCCTTCAGGACCTGAAAGGATTTGCAAATAAATCACACATGCAATTCTCTCCTGAAAGCCTGCTGACTGATAGTGGTAAGTGGGAACTGTGGCAGGCAAGCATGTATTCCAGCCTCCCTTTGGGCTAGACTGAGGAAAGCTGTCCTTCCTTTGGGTCTCGAGTGTACACACATGCAGTAACACTGGGCTGGGTTAAAAAGTTGATTTTAGATTTACCAACTGCAGACTCAAGACAATTCCACATAACAAGAAGTTGCATGAAACCTTTACATTCATGCAAACAGCAGCAAGTGATCATTTAGTCAGCCATTATTTACTGAGCAGCTACTATGTACCAGGAATAGCTGTGAGCACTGGAGACAGAGTCGTACATATAACAAGTGCACATGCACGCTCAAAAACCTTACTTATATCTATTGGGGCAGGGGGGATAAACAGCAAACAAAATAATTTCAGATAGTCATAAGTCTGGGCTTTTTCTTTTTCTTTTTTTTTTTTTTGAGACAGGGTCTTTCTCTATCTCGTTGCCCAGGCTAGAGTGCAGTGGCACAGTCTCAGCTTACTATAACCTTCATCTCGAGTGCTCAAGCAATCCTCCCACCTCAGCCTCCCGAGTAGCTGAGACTACAGGCACACACCACCACACTTAGTGAATCTTCATGATTTCGCGGATATGGCTGGTCTTGAACTCTTAGGCTCAAGCAATCCTCCCACCTTGGCCTCCCGAGTAGCTGAGACTACAGGCACACACCACCACACTTAGCAAATCTTGATGATTTCACGGATATGGCTGGTCTTGAACTCTCAGGCTCAAGCGATCCTCCCACCTTGGCCTCCCTAAGTGCTGGAACTAAAGGTGTGAGCCACGGAGCCCAGCCAGTCATAAGTTTTATAAAAGACAATGAAACTGGTTGCAGAATGGAGAAAATTGAGCCACCTTTCCAACCCTTGACAACTTCACCTTAGAAATCTAGATTTCTGGCATCGCTTGAGAATTCAGACACTGGCGAAATGGGGCTTCCAATCTGACTAGGCCCTGCTGGGGCGGAGTGACACCGAGGGTTTGAGTCCTCTCCATCCACGGTGTCTTCTGGGCCCAGAGTTAACCAACTCCATTTATGGCCCATCTCACCACTCTTCTAATAGAAAAATGTGTCTCCCAAGTCACGTCTCTACCCAAAAGTGGGGAAACAGAAAGGGAGGGAACCATGTGTTTTCAAGACAATTTAAAGGAGCGCATTGCTTTATGGGAAGATAATTCCTGTGCGTCTCCTAGGCAAATACAGAAAGAATGTCATTGCCTGAAGAACATGGCTGAAGATGGCATTATGATGCACCCCTTGTGCCCAGAATCCGAGAAAGAACTGAAAGGGAAGTCTTCACTGAAACGCCCACGAGGTGTCTTTTCGAATGCAAATAACGTGTGGGGCTTGGTTTCTCTCACACCTGGCCGGTTCGCTCACTCACGCCACCTACGGGGCCCCTGGAGGTGGTGAGTTTCCCAAGGTCCCCAGGAAGAGGGCTCTGGAAACCAGAGGGCCACCGGCCTCATCACCACCTCTGTGGGGGGCTCGTCCCTCGCGGGCTTCTCAGTTCCCTCCCCTGGACTCCGGCTACAGGTACTTGACCATGACTAAGTACCACAAACGGGGCAGCTTGAGTAACAGAAATGTGTGCTTTCACTTTTCTGGAGCCTGAAGTTGGAGCCCAGTGTGTGCACGGGGCCGGTTCCCTCAGAGGGTGTGTGGGGGCTCCTCCGGGCCTCTCCCAGCTCCTGCAATTGCTGGCATCCTTGCTAGTTCTTGGCCTGTAGAAGCATCCCTCTGATCTCTGCCGTCACCTTCATGTGACATACTCCGTGTGTGTGTGTCCATGTCCAAATCTCTTTTTTGTGAGATGGGGATCTCACTTTGCTACCCAGGCTGGAGTACAGTTGCATGATGAATGCTCACTGCTGCCTCAACCTCCGGGGCTCAAGCAATCCTCCCACCCTAGCCTCTCAAGTAGCTGGGACTATAGGCACACACCACCATGCCTAGCTATTTTTTTTTATTTTTTGTTAAGATGGGGTCTTGCTATGTTGCCCAGGCTGGGCTCAAACTCCTGGCCTCAAGCAATCATTCCACCTTGGCCTCCCAAAGTACTGAGATTACAGGATGAGCCACCATGCCCAGCTCCAAATTTCCCCAAGGCGTATTATACTAGGACCCACCCTACACTGGTGTGACCTCATCCTCACTCGTGACACCTGCAGTGACCCTATTTCCAAAAAAGGTCGTCTTCTGACACTGGTGGTTAGGATTTCCACTATGAATTTGGGGTCGGGGGAGACACAGTTCAACCTGTAACACTGGCCTCTGGTCCTAAGGTCCCAGGCAGCTAAGCCTGTGCACAGGTTGAGGGTAGCCAGCCGTGACTGACCTGGCACTGGACTGGTGGGGCCCACTGACCTTCCAGGAATGCGGCTCACGCCCCAGAGCTTTGCCCTTCCCTCGGTTTCACACCGGTTTTACAAATGAGTCTGCTGGGACACCCTGGGATCGCAAGTGAACAATGTATCTATTTCCTTCTGGGAAAGCCCAGAACTGTGAATTAATTACCCAGTTGACGCCTCCCACGGTGCAGTCATTAGCTCCTTGCCACCCTTTGTTTTGCCTTTGCAGCAGCAAACGATGCCCTGGCAGGAAGATGGGTGAGCCCGGGGTGTCCCCCCGCAGAGACTGGCATCCTCTGAGCCAGTGATGACAGTGGGTGACTGCTCGGGGGTGGAAAAGGGAGACAGAGGCCAGACGCCCGGTGCAGGCGTGACTTGGATCGGCAGAATCGCCATCAGGTCCTTCTCAAGCACACTGTGACACACCCTCCCCACATCTGACCCCAAACGATATGGGAAACATGCTGTATACAGGAAAACGTGCTGATAGGGTAATCAGAAAGTTAGATCAGAAAGGAGAACCAGAAGGTCTGTCCTGGGTACAAAGGCTACCTGTGTTCTGGGAGAGGTATTGGTTTCCTGGGGCCGTCATAACAAGATCACCGCAAACTGGGCTGCTCACAGCAACAGGAATTTACCCTCTTACATCCTGGGGGCGGGAAGTCCAAAGTCAAGGTGTTGGCTGAGGTGGTTCCTTCCAAGTGTTATGAGGCCCAGTCAGCCCCATGCCTCCTCTTCCAGCTTCAGGCGGCTCCTGGCAAGCTTGGGTCTCCTGGCTGGTAGATACAGCACTCTAGTCCCTGCCTCTGAGGGTCTGTGTGTGAGTTTTCTTCTCATAAGAAATTCAGTCACTGGATTTTGGAATAGACCCTAATTCAGTATGACCTCATCTTACCTCGATCACATCTGCAAAGACCCTATTTCCATCTAAGGCCACATTCACAGGGACTAAGGGGTAAGACTTCAACTTAGCTTCCTGGGGACACATTCCCGTCCACTCCAGGAGAAAGAAGTCCCCATGGTAGAGAAGAAGTTCTGTCTTCCTGTTTGCTTTAAGGAGAATCCTTTCATTGCAGGTGATTAAAAAAACAAAGTGGGCTTCAGGAAAAAGTAGCAGCAGCGAGGAAGAGGATGTGCGGCTTTCTAGGGTGGAAGAAGTGGTGCGTCGGGGATGGCTGGCCCAGGGGCTCCCTGTCTCTTCTCCTTCCTGCGTTTCCCTCTGTATTTGCCTATTTGTCTTCATGTTCGGACAGCCCACTCTACGAAGCGGCCTCCCGAAACCCTAGACTTGTTATTAGAGTTGTGCAGGTGACAGTCACAGAGCAGAGACAGTTTCACTCCCAGCATGTTCAGAAAAAGTCCTCCATTGCCTCCTATTGACCGACGTGAGTCACTGGCTGAACAGTCAGACCTGTCGACGGAATGGCCAGGCCTGGTCACAAGAATCTCTCCCCAGCCCTGGCACCTGGAGAATGAGGGGCAAGTCCTCATCTAAACCGCAGCATAGAGACTCAGAGTGGAGGTTCCAAAGGCAGCATGGAGACACTGCCCTTAACTGGGGAGGGGGATGCTGATCTCGCGAAGCATCCCAGGTCATTGCTCCTCCTGGCTTCGGCTCCCTGCATTTTCCGTTCCCACGAGTTTTGCTTTCTAGACATTCGAGAAGACTCCTGAGCCAATATGAAGGAACCCCAGAGAATGCTGGGCCATGCTGAAGAGTGGGAGTCGACCCCTTCACAGACAGCCTGTGTGGGGCCACTGCAGAGACCCCGTCCAGTCTGGCCGAGTTCCTGTGAGTGCCCCCGCAGGGCCAGCACTCTGGGTAGCTGTTCGTTCTCGGACAGACAGACCCTGAATTTCTCACAGCTGTGTTTCCTGATGTTGAATGGAGCCTGACTCACCAATTATGCTAATGGACTGGGAGCCTGGTGGATGATTGTCTTGTGATTTTCAAAGCTTCCTCCTGGCTCTCTGTTCCTCTGCAGGCGGAGCATTGCCAGGCTCCTGAGTGAATCTTCTAAGTAGGCAGTCAATGTTTTCTAAATGAAAATTCACAGGGCGACCTTTAAAAAAACATGAGTTAAATCATGTCACCCCTGGCTTAAAACCCTCCAGTAGAGGCCCATAATTCCTGGAATAAAACCTGGACTCCTTCATGTGACCAAAAGGTTGTATGTGACGTGGAGCTGCCTGCCACCCACCCTCATGCCCACCACCTGCTCACTTGCTCCCTGCACTCCAACCCCACTGGTTTCCTTCTGTCTGTTCCTCTGTCAACAGAAGTGCACTCCCGGCTGGGCTCGGTGGCTCACACCCGTCATATCCCAACACTTTGGGAGGCTGAGGTGGGCTGATCCC